AGGATACAGGATGTCTAATTTCAGTTTCACAGAATCACAGAATTGTAGGGGTTGGAAGGGATCTTCACAGATTGAGTCCAACCCCCTGCCAAAGCAGGTTCCCTGCTCCAGGTCGCACAGGTAGGCATCCAGGCAGGTTTCCTCCTTTGCTTGAGGGAGATTCAATCCCACACTTCCCACCAGTCACCACTCTGAGCCCTACAGTTGCTATCAGCCCTGGGCAAAAGATGCTGCAGATTTGAATGAAGATGTAGGTGGGTAGAGGAAATGAATTTTGAGTTTTCCATATGAAGGAAACCAGCCTAAATGCAGAGCCTCACACAAAACGACATGGCTGTCTTTCCATTCCTCACTTCTGTCCCCACCATGGTTTTGAGCTGATTTCACACTGATGAAGCATGCATTAACATGCTTAAGACATATCCCATAACATGCATCCCTTGGAGACACAAAGGCTGCAAGCAGCTTAGCAGAGGACTCACGAAACAGGGCCAGGAGGCAGCTCTCACACAGCACCAAATGTTGGCAGAGCTCTAGGGCCTTGTGGCAATTCCTGGATGAAAGTAAATGCTCACAGCACAGCAGTGCTGACTTTGAGAATTGCACTTTTAGGCTTATATACCTGAACTCAGCAGCAGCACCATGGAGATTTTGGGGACTGCCTCTCCTGTGATTTTCCACAGACCTAAAAGACCAAAGCCTAACGTCTTAAGTGCCAACTTCAATTCTATTTTATTTCACAGAACTAGCATGCTCTGAAAGACCTGCACCACATTATTTCCTGGGAGAAGAAAAAAAAGTTGATCTTAAATTGCTTTAGTTTCCAGCACCTTCAGTCAGTGCTCTCAAGGGAGAGAATGTTATTTACTCTGTAGTAAGAATACACTGAACCTTGGACAACAATATTAGGCATCACTTATGTTCAGCCTGATGAATTATGAGCTGCCTTATGGATAAAGCACTACCTGGGAACACAGACTGTCTTAATTCTGCCTTTGAACATGCTGTAACACCTCAGGGAGGCCAGCAGCTTCCCCTTCCCTGATTATTTCCACAGCTGATAAATGGAGATAAATATAATCTCTTCACATGCATCTAGAACTACAAAATAGTAAATACTGGGGGAGTAATCAGCTCCTCCTACTAAATAATGCTTCCTTAAAACATTGACAAAAAGCACCCAATCTGAGAATTTTAAAACAAGCCCAGGGAATGCCCAGCTAGGTGTCTTGCCTCCTCTGCCACAGCTTTATATAACCACCATGAAATCTGCTGATCCAAATCCCCCATTCATCTGATTTTCACAATCAGTGCAGACTCCATTGCTCACTCCCCTGGGCATCCAGGAGCTGATGCTGACTGCTCCAGGTCCACAGCAGAGCATTCTGAACTCAGAAACATCCTCAACAACACTTTGCTTGCCCATATCAAGAGGTGACAAATAGAAGTCCTTTAAACATACAGAAGAAATGAGTCACTAGATTGGGGAAACACCACGAAGTAATGCTCTGATTTTATAACAGAACACCGTAAAAATGTGTTTGAAACAAGTTGCAAGGGCATCAGTCAACAAAAAACAGCCTTCTCTCACTGTCATCACCCACATCATCTCATAAGAACAGACAACCAGGATGATAGGTCAGTGTGCTGGTGGCTGACATTTTGGTCAGCAACTGTATTATGCAATGATATACAGCAAAGGGAAGTTTTCCTTCTCCACTACACATCCATTTTAAACCAGAAACTACTTTACAGTTTTATATAATGCAGGAAGGAAACAGGATAGAAACTGGAAGCAACTTTAAGATTGTAATAGCTGTAATGTTAGCTGCATAATCGAATAGCAAAACTAACTCATTTATTACATGAGTATTTCTTTTTCAGTGCTATAAATTAAGAATATATTTTTTGCAGTTCTTCCTTGCCAGGAACAATTCTTTTATTCATGAACCTGCTTATTTTAAGGGCTGAGCCTTTAAAGCCCATTAGGAAACATCATCAACACATTCTGTTTTCTTTAATGCAAGGAAAGAAACATTAAGCAAGCTGCTGCTCTCATTTTTCAAAATAAAGCCATTCTTCCCTCCCACAGTTATATGGCAGTACCTAAAACACTGTTTTCAGCAGTTATTTCTGATTTACATGGCTGTGGAAGTACAGTCACAAACTTACAGCATACGTAAAAACGTCCACAGCATCCCCTCATGTTGCTGTGTCAGCATCCATCTAACCAAGGACAGTGCAGGAATTTAAAGTGCTGTTATGCTGCAATGGGAAAAAGCCTTGCTTCCTTGGCTAAGGATTATTATTCATGTTGCCACAGTGCCCAGAGAGCAAGACCCTACGCGCTAGTTGCTCTGTGTATCTCAAGACAGAACATGCTCTGAATATTTACTACCTGAACAACAAAACAAGAGCCAGGAAGCTGCAAGAGAACCCTCCAGCAGTGCTTGCTCAGAGTCTCCCAGAGCACCTCTGGCAGGCAGAAGTGCAGCTCAAGACCATGTACCATACTTCTCCTCCACTTGGACTCTTTGACCAGGACAGTGCTTGCTCACTTACACTTGATTTCACCCCTCTGAATTGCAACACATACATGAGGTTTTAGCATACCATGCTGTTATTCCTCTTACATATGTAGGAGGAAGTGGCCTTTTGAAGAACATGCATCAGAACACTTACCAGCTATTTCCTCTCTTCTTAGCAACAAACTTTTGGCAAAAAAAAAAAAAAAAAAAAAAAAAAAAAACAAAAAACCACCTCCTTCTACATCTGCAGCAGTGAAAAAATGAAATTTCTACTTGAACCAATCCTTAGCAGCACTAGCTGAAGAGACATGGGAGATACAGTAATTCATGTCTGTCCATTTCAGGTCACGAGGGACAGGTCTTATTCCACTACTGTTGCAAGAAGCTCAACAGAAGGATGTGCCATACATCCCAAGGAGGACACATGCAGAAACGTTTGTGGGAAAGTTCCAGCCTAGTCACTAATGCTTCTTCCTATTTCTGTGTCCAACTCAGGCAAAGAACATTTCTTCATCATCTCCTGCCTGATTTATGTTTTCATACACATATGACAAAACCCATGCTACTCTTTTGTAATCAGACACTGGGCAGCCACCTGGCAGGCTGTTTGTGCTCCAACAACTCAGCAGGTGCCTGTATAACTGAGGTACAGAAATCACTGCAGTGCTGCACGGGGTGACAAACTGCAGTAAGTATCTTACAGGGAAGCAGTCTGTTTAATTATATCTAGGATATAAAACCCTACATGCAATTCAAAACAACAATACCTAGTGGCAGAAGAGAAAAACAGATGGGAGATGGTCTCCTTTGGTATTTTCCAGATTTGTTTCCTACCTTATTTTGCCTAGGATGTAATGTTGTAAGCAATGATTTTTTTTCCTTTGCATGGGTGTTTACATCCACACTTCAGAGATGAAGACAAGTGCTGACCAACCCTGTTGTACCTATATACAAATAGGAAGCACACTGAACGCAAGGTGTCACAAAGCTACTGTTTAAGCAGCTCAGTATCTGCATTTAGGTACTTAACAGCCAAGCAAGCACAACTACAAGGAAAATAAATTGCAGACATCCAGTTGAGGTACAATACTTGCCAAAACAGTTGTCCAATAGGCCAGAACGGATCTCCTAATTGGAAAAGCCATGCTGGAGTGTTATTGAGACACCAAACTCTACAGAAAAGCCCCCAGACTAAGTTACAGTGAGGGAAACAGAGCTGCATCTCACCAGTTGCTCAATGACTGCAGCATTCCTGCTGAAGTGTTTCCCTCATCATCTAGGTCACATATTAGCTGGACCCTTTCAACCATGCATTTCTACCTATGACACACAGATCCAGTGAGACAACCGAGTCCAATGTATTAATACAGCTGTTCAGATCACTTCATAGCCTTGAACAACATGGATGCCAACACTCATTTCCATCCCACGGTAGAGTTAACCCCCCAGGCAGACAAGCAATCGCACAGAAAACCCCAAATCTTTTAAGGATGAAAAACAGAGACACTTGAGGGCATCTGATCTATCCTTGCCAGGCTCCAACAGGCATATCACCTTCCTGTGACTGGCACTGAAATGAAGCCTGCAGGCTGCAAAGCAACACTGACACCTGGTCCTCCTCCACAGCAGATGAGGGCATACGCACTACAAACTTGGCTGGCAAGCTTAGCAACCACCTGGAGCCACTACAGGCAGGAATAACTTGAATAACCTCTCTGCAGTGCCTTTGAACAGCTATTTGCAATACTGGAAGTGACAGTGAAATCTGTGAAGTCAATAACAGATACCTTTCCTTGAGACAAGGGGAACTAAACAAGTTTTAGAGTGACCACAGCACTACACTTCAGCATGCACTATCTAAACACAGAAAGTTACAGCAAAGTTTGAACAACTGTGACATTAAAAAAAAATTATGTCAACATGGCAGGGAAGTATTAACTTCTTCTTTTCTTTCTGCTTAAAGAAGATGATAGAAGACCAGTTTAATCTTTGAACTGCAACCAGCCAACTTTGAATCCTGGTATCCAGTCACAGGTTCTACATAGTCAAGCAGAAAGATTTTCTAGCTCCAGCATCCAGTAAAAGCAGTGGATTCACATTAGATATGAACCAGATCCATTCTCAATGATTCTCACAAAAGCATGAAAAAGCAGAGATAACATGGAAGGATTCCCAAGATGCATCTAGCAGAATCTGGCATGGCCCAGAAAGAGAGAAACTGCTGTCCTAGGAGAAAAATTAGCAAGCATCTGCTTGGTATCCCCAAAGCAAGATAAAGTCCTCAAGATACAAAATACCCACGTTCCATAAATACCTTACAACCACTTCCCCTGCCTTAACAAAAAGGGTCATCTGTTCTGTTATATGAAGAAGCAAAATTGCTTTTGACAGGTTCTTGGCAATACCAGATAGAGAATTCACAAGTAGTGTGTGACACAACAGTCACACACAGAAAGAAAAAGCCAAACTCACCCAACTGGTGAAGAGGTTCTCCGGCCACACAGCATCCCCTCTCTAGAAGCACCCTCAGTCCAAGGGATGCTCTCCCTTCAGTGGCTGCCCTTATAGGAGCTCTACCCTGGGTCCAGCCCTTCTGGTCTGGTAGGGAGCACAGCTGCAAACAATTTGCCTGTGCTCCCTGGGCAGTCACAGCCCTTCACCAGGTGCTCAATCACCAGTTCAAGCCCTGACCTAACACTTCCCCCACATCATTATAACCCAGAGTTTTATAAGCTTTCCACAATATGGCCCATAAGTAACTAGATTTAAAGTTAACTAAAAGAAAATAAACTTTTCAGTAGCTACCAATGAAAAACGCAAGGAGAACATATGCTCTGATTGCTGGCAGAAATTCAAATAAACCAGTTACAGTAGTTAACTACCTTCCAGGTCTTCTTCAAAGCCATGTCATAGGATTTAATCCAGACTAGGATATTCTGCACAAACACAGACACTTACTAGAGTAACCTCGACAACAAATAAGAAAACTGTTCTTGGATTCACAGTGTCATAGAATCTCAGTATGATGCAGGTTGAGAAAGTAACTTGTTTTATGAGCAGATTCCTCTAAGGGCCATATTGACAAAGCTTGGATTCTACTCAAGTCCCTGCACCTTGCATTTCTAACCAGCTGACTTGTAGGTGGATTATGGCTTAATAATATCCTTCAGTCCCATGAGCTGTTATTTTCAGCAGCTGCTCCATCAGTGTCTCTGCCACCACCTATGAGACGCATGAAAATCAAACGATTTTAATCCAGGTCTTCATCCAGTTACACAATGGCACTTCTGTGATCATTGAGCACTACAGGTCATGTCTAATGGCCTTTCTACAGTCTTCAACAATTATTTTTAATGATTTTTTCTGAATTCCTGTCATCAAAAAGAAAGATGCATAAATACATATTCCCTTTAGAACGCAATTAAACAGAGCTGCTATCCTCTTGATGCTGAGTTCTCAGCAGTGAATCTCCAGAATTATCACAACAGCCTTCTCTGTTGCATCCTACAACTGAATGGGTGGTGTAAGGGGGGAAGGTTTGATAATAATAATAGGCAGCACCTTCAGCTTCAATCAGTTGCATGTTCCAAGACCACAGATTGCTGCTGTGTATGAAGAAGGATCTGAAATGCAAATGATCAAGAGGCCATTAGAGACATTAAAGATTTAGCAGACATGCGTTCATCCTGTTTTTATTGTGGGGGGATAGAAGCACTAATCCCAAAGACACAGATAATGAAATACAGCTACCATATTCTGCCTTTCACAGAGTAGTTATAGTCTCATTAGAAGCACTCTTACTGTCCAATCTTTAATATTTCACGTAATTATTCCCCATGCAGATCTAACTTTAATGACTGTTATTTACACCAATGATTTTGCTTATAGGAAATGCATGAAAGGGAGATCCACCCCAGAGCTGTCTCCCCACACACTAACTCTCAGATGACTTTCCATTCAACCTGGGGCTGGTCATACGCTCTCCTCAAAGGGAAAGAGCACCCGAGAGCTCTGTTGCTGCCATAGGATGAGGTGATCTTGGGATACAGGATGCTGCAATTTGGATTCCCCGAAGTAAAGAGATGATATAAACCTACTCCACTTTGCAGGGCATTTCTGATATTTACTGCTTCAGAAACTACAATAATCTTTATTCATAAAGTCATCCAATGCACGTGTAAGCCACTGGAAGAATTTTCTTGAGATTCCTTTAGTTTCCATATCTAGCCATCTTTATGATCAGCTTAATAAAGGTTAAAGCCCCTGCTTTTCAACTAAAATTGGATCTGTAAGTTTCTGTTTTCAGTCTGTGGGCTTTGAGACTGTGTTATTGTCACAGTCACATCATGTTATTTCCACCAAAACAGCTGGAGGTTTCCAGTGTAAGAAGCAATTACTATGAAAAGTGTCAATGTGTCATTCTCCCCAAGTCAAATACTTCATGTTATAGCATCTGACAAGTATCCAGCTCTCAGACTCCACCAAGAAATAAAAAAAGAGCACACAAGTAAGTCACGAGAGAAAAGATCAGTTTATCCACTGCTATGGAAGCAAATTTTGACGTCGCTGACTGATGCCACAGCTGTGCATTTCTGGAGTTTAATTGCTTTGGTGGAAGACAGGGTTAAGTCTGCGTGCATGAATTCACTGATTGCCTTGACCCAACAATGCACACACAGCAGGTGTCATTCAAACAGCACTCTAAATAATGACACGCTCAGTGCAAGCATTTTGGAAAGTGATAGTCACAACTTACAGAGCGGGACAGAAGAAAACGTTCTGGCTACCAAATGCACAGTGAAGAAATAGAACTAGTCTATGCTACCTTTGAGACCTGAAAGACTCAACCACAGTGCTATGAACAAAGGACCATGCACGTGCCTTTCTGGCACAAAATCATCCCACACAGCAAAACTAAGGCACAGTTTTAAGCTCTAGCAGGTGTTCTTTTCAGTATGTGGTATATCTACTAGCTCAATGCATCCAGTGGGGCAGTTGCATTAGTAAATAATAATGCACAGTACTGGCTAATAACAAGCCAGTGATGTGATCACATATTGCCAAGAGCAAGCAGAAGTCCCTACTGCTTCCCTATTAATTACTGGCTAATAGACACATTTAGCACATTAGGCCAGCAAACCCAAGCATTCTGCAGCATTACCCTCCTTTAGGAACACAGATACAACCCTGATGACTTTTTCTGCACATAAATTGGGTCTGCCACATGCATGACAGGGGAGTGGACACTTTTCTGTTTCAAAGGCTCAGACCATTGATTCAGAGCACCTGCACAGGTCCTGCTCCAGTACACCAAGTTCTGAGGACGGACTTCCTTTCAGGAGCCTGCACAAGATGCACTGCACTCCAGGGAGGAAACAGTCTGGAGAGCGAATGTCTTTCTCTCATTATATTTTGGCACCACGAGGACCATGTTATTAATTTAGGACCTAACAGTTTGTGAAGTTATTTGGAAAGGAAACCAAGAGAAACTTCAGCAAAAAGCACTTCAGTATTTTTTAAGATGGTGTCAAGACAAGGAAATGATACAAAACATGAGATCCTGTTTTCTGCTTAGAAGAGGGAACCTCCTGCTAATACAGTATATTCTCCAGCAATTCATGTTACATTAAATTAATGGAAACTTTGAGCTGTAGCATATGCTTAATAGCTACAGTCTGGTTTTTAGAGCATTGATGCAACTTTCTTATCATATACCGAAAAAAAAACCACACATGGATGCACTCGTGTATGTCAGAAACACTCATGCAAGCTTTGATATTATTCAACAACATGTAATGTCCATTGCTAAGCAGTGCTTAAGGCTATTCAGAGCAACTCACAAGTAACCTGGTAAAAGTACAACATTTCTTCAGAACCTAGAAAGATCTTTAGTGTTTAATTTATTAAAAATAATTATAATAAATCAATCATCAGTCAGGAAAAAAACATTCTTCCAGTCAGCCTAAGTCCAGCAAATGCTTGCTCCTCTACAACAGGGCTGCAGAATCCAGACCTCTCACATTGAGAACTGTTAAGGGCTCTCCTTCTGCTATAGGACATAACAGGACACCGGGCAATTTTTCAATAGCCTTCCAGATTACAGACTGTCACTGACTCATTTACTAACCTTTGGTGACAAAACCCAAGGCAAGAAACACAAGGTCCAGTCCTCAATGTGTGCCATGAGGAAGGATGAGGGTGGCATCACTTCTTCTTTCAGAAGGTGCTACATACTCAAATATAAGAACTAAATGTTGCCAGCAGGTCAAAATAACTGTGGAAATACAATTGCTAGTTTATAAAGATAATCAGACACATAAATTGATATTACAGATGCTTTGTAAGTCCTGGTAATTCTGTTACACGCTGTGGAATTATCTGAAAAATCCACCCCTGTAATCTGTACTAAAACTCAGTGATGCTGTGCAGTTACACGTTGCACACTCAGCCACTGGGGGTCATCCCTGTTTCTTCCCCCAGCACTGGCAGCTGAAGCAAACACTGTACCAGAGCACTAGAAGATCACATCAAGGCAGCATCACAGCAATGAGGGGGAAAAGCAGTTTTGCAGACAGAATGGGAGATTGCTCATACAGCTTTCTCTTGCAATCCAAGAGTGACATCTGGTGGGACTGACGCTGCTGAACGTTGGGTTTTCTTCCTCATCTACAGGAATGAGAGGTGCCTAACAGTGAGGAACTGTCTGGCAATGCACTGAAGCTTCATTCCCAACAGCCCTTTCAGGGGAAGAATAACCCAAACCTGCTAGCTGTGGCCATGAAGTAGGGTGTCTGTTCATGCAGAAACACACAAATTGTGATGCCTTCAGACATCACTATCTTAGCAATGCAGGCGGAGACACTTCATATATGGGCTTTAAAACCAATCCTCGATTGTGGCTTGGAAGGAAAACAATGGGCAGTGGTATTGTAATCAGATGCACTCCGTTTTTCTGACCAAATTTGACAAGAGAGTATGAAACTGTGCCAAGATAAGGACTACCACTGCAATGCCTAGCATCTGACTGTGGGCACTCTCGTATCTCTTTCCCATTCTTCATATAGCAAGCAGACATTTTTCAAGTAAATAATCCCAGATCTATTCATGAGAGCAGTATGAGTTCTATCTTAGAAGAATAAAATCATATTTTTAATGAAAATAGTTCGGCAGCTGCTTTGTGGAATTAACAAATTCAGGAATAGCCCTAAATGGAAATTAATGAGTGATTAGCAATGATATTCAGCAGAAGGAAAGGCCAACACAAGGTAAGGTCATGTCCTGGTTTTGGCTGTGGTTGTTTATTTTCATGTGAGCAGCTGGCACAGTGCTGTGTTTTGGATTTAAGGTGAGAATAATGTGGATAACACAGCAAGGTGAGGGGAGATGAAGTTGTCTCCACGGGAAAAGAAATATTTCAGCTGCATTCTGAAACTTCATGCTTGCTCAATTAAAGGTGAATGCAAAAACGGTAAAACGGTGGAGCGTTACTGCCACCTTGTGCTACACAAGATCTCTACAAGTAAAAAGCTTTCCATTCACCTGGGTTGGCTCTTTTATTTTTTTGACTCCTCTCTCCAAAACCACAAAACCAG